ACACCTGGGGAAAGTCGTCGTCCTCGCCAGCCACCTCCCTTGAGGGCAGGACTGATGACTTGTTAATCGTTCTAATCCTAGTCCCAGCACGCAGTAGGTACTTCAGAAATATTTAACTACCCTATTTTATAAATGCATTTTAGTAAAACTAATCGAGTTGATACCTTCCTTGCTTTTCTGTCACTGGCATTATCTTCAAAAACATTCGGTAAGTGGCTCTCCGTGAGCATCTCTGAGCTGGGTGCTGAGCTGCAGACTCCGTGTTTCACTGTGCTTTGCTCAGTTCCCGGCATTTACTCCTTATGTCCTGTCTCACCTGCCTTTGCCTTGTCCACATAGTCTCCACCTTCGTCACAGCGCCTTAGCCCAGATCTTGTTCATCTTGCAACGAGATTATTACCACCCCCTCCTCCTCTCGCAGTTCCTTCTTCTAGTACATCCCAAAACCCTTCCACCATATGGGGAGAAATGATGGCTTTCATCTCATTGTTAATGAGGACAGAGAACCCACCTTCTGCCTGCGGATCTTTTCCCCAGATCATTTCCCTCCCGACTCCTCTGGTTTACACTGCCGGTGCCCAGAGTTATACTGTGTAACAGCAGCAGCTGCTTAATGCTTTCGGAGGTCATCATTGTGCTAGCTAATGCCGTCATAAAAGATAAACTGTAAAATGTCAGAGACTTAACAGAATGCAAGTTTATTTCTGACTCACATAAAATTCAAAGATGAGACCTGCAGGCAACTCTGCTCCACCAGCGATCCAGAGAGCCTGGGTCCTTCCATCTCGTTGCCGTTGAGTCTTCAGCACACGGACTCCAAGATCGCTGCAGAACGGGAAGAGCTCTTGTAGATCTCACACGGGAAGATCTGTGTGAGCCAGGCCTAGAAGTAGCACATGCGACCTCAGCTCACATCCGTGGGACAGAAGCCTCTCATGCGGCCACACACAACTAGAAAGAGCCAGGGAATGAGCACACCTTTGTGCCCAGGAGGAAGAGGACCTGGGGTTTGCAGTCAGCGAGCTGCCTCTGCCGCGGTGGTCACCAAGAACAGCGCTGTTCCCACCACGCCTTCACGCGCTTACTTGATATTTTTATTCGTGCACTTTTTGCATTAAATTATTTACCTCCTTTCAGTTCTTTGCACCGATTTTCTTCCCATCTCAGGGCCATTATATGCTGTATCTTCTCCCTCGAGTACTGTTCCCCACTTTTTGCCTGGCCAACACTTACCTTTCAGGTCCCAGCTTAAAACTCACTTTCAAACTTGATTACCTAAAAATGGTATCTCATTGTTTGAATCAATATTACTTTTCTAGTTAAACATTTGTTTGCATTTATTACTATTTCTGTTTCTTTGATGAGCTGTCCTTTGCACATTAAAGCTAGAATTTGAGTGTTTTTCTTCTCACTTTCTGTGAATTCCTTATATATCAACAAGAGATGGCATTTGTCATATTTATTGTAAACATTTTTCCTGTTTCTGTATGTTTAGTGTTATTTATTGTATGACATACACACTTTTAATATAAATTTTTTCTCTATTGATTTCTTTAACTGCTTTTATACTTAAAGCATCCTTCCCCACTCTGAGATTAGGTTTACCTATATTATGTTTTAGTTTTTCTTCACTGATACATTACACATTTTCCATAAACTCTCTTTAGGTGTTAATGCTTCCTGGAAATGGCTTCTACGTTGATAGCTCAGCTCCTAGCTCTCACGTGAGAGTGTCCTACTCTTTATCATCTCCAGAGCAGATGGACGTGGTGAGTACAGTAGTCTCTTCAAAGTAACAATAGCTATCAGCTCCGATTTTTATTGCATGTATTTACTTGGTGAATTAGAACATTATGTAATGTCATTTTAGGTTTCTAAAAACCAGATATTAATTGACCAGTCAGCAACCACCATTATAAGACCCATTTTGCTTTGTTGCTAGACTTCTGTAAACAAATGAGACTAAGGTGGAGTTAAAGTTTATTGTCTTCATGAATAATTTCTCAGAACTTGCTGAACAGTGCTGGGAGATTGCCAACATGTTACAAGGAAAACCTTTGTCCTTACTTCATGGAATTATCATAAACCAAAAGTACAAATTCATGACAGTCATCAGTCTTCTTCTCTGATGAAAAAAGTATCAGCAGGGTCAAGTAGAATGATAATCACAATCTAGCTTGAAGCAAAATAACAAGAAGCAAAGAAACAACGTCCTAAGGACTGTGTATCTGGAAATCTAAACAGAAGAGCTATAAATTGAATAATGCCATTAACATTGAGAAGAGTTCATACTCATCCTTGGAGTTGGAAATTTTTCGTGTATTCTTTATTTACGTGCGTTCTCATGTCATTAAATATGCTTTTCAAAGTTCCCTCTGCTTTATACATATGAATAGAGTTGGAGAATTGAAACTATAGAGAATGCATATGCAGATGAGAGAGTATATGAAAATATAGGATAATTTGTGTTGCGGATAAAATAGAAAATGAAAATCTTGAGGGATGTACAAACAAAAATAAAATCCCGGAAGTCTGATGTACTCCCATCGACATATTTTAGTAGGCGTTGATGGCATCCTGCCCAGATAAAGCTGATGTTAAACTTGACTTTTCATTGCCTTATCTCAGCCTCAGGTGGATACTCTGAATTTTTAAAGTTAACGCAGACTTTTCCAAAGTAACATCCTAATTTAATTAATTTGTATCTCTCTTCTATTTTAGGGATTAAGGATATTAGCCCAACTTATAGAAGAATCTTTATGAAGAAATCAAACTAATCACACTGCTCATGGATTTTTCTGATAAGTTATTTCCATATTTTAGCAGGAAGAAGTGGTCACTGGTGTTAGACTTACAGATTGGATTTCCTCAAATATGTCCTATCTGTAGTAGTTCAACTAAACAACTTTTAAAGTGCCTTTAAATCCATCAGATTGCCAGAATATATTTATAATCCACTTATGCATTTTGATAAATTGCCAGTCTGCAAAAATTATTTTTATCTTGTATCATAAAGAATTCTGTAGTTGCTTTATAATTTCCCCTAAATTTTCTTTGAAACTAATATTTCATACTGAAGTATTTTGAAAATTTAAGGAAATACGTAAGTTCAAAATGTTTTTTCTATTTTTAGGGCAATTTAATAAGAGCTTGTTGCCAAATTTGTTACAATTTGACCATTATAAATGATTTTTAGTAAGACTACCATAAGTATTATGTTATGCCACAGAAATCCCTTTAAAATAAAATTTGAAACTAAACATACCTAAAGGCATCATACCTATTAATTCTAAGTAAGGAGGGGAGATCATGGACTTAAAATTTACTACACTGTATTTTCATAATACGGCATAATTTATTAAAGCAAATTCTTATCAAGTATGTAAATTAAATCTGATACAATTCTTTGAAGTATTAGGCTATACTTTTTAATACTTTTCTTTCTCATCTTTTAAAATCCTTATTATTTCCTTCTGATTATTAAAGTAATATATGTTCATTTTAGAATTTTCAAACAATCCAGAAAATATAAGGAATAAAGTAAAAGCCACTCACTATCTTGCCCCCAGCGAGAACTGCCGTCAGCATTTGTCTTTCCTCCTTTATAATGCTTTGCTGTGCGTACGCATGCAGTATCTAACAGAACGGGATCTCGCTCTGATTGTGTCATAAATACCCTGTATTGTTTCCTGTCAGTGTTTAACAAATGACCACAGTGTTCCAAGATTTAGTAATTATAAAGTTATAAGTTCCTTTGAGGAATTAGGAAGTTTATGTCATTGTTATTTATGCCATCCCTTGTTTATATAAACATCTCCATCACAGTTTTTTTATTTTCCCGGACAGCTGGATGAGATGTTACATCTTCCCACAGCTAAAGGTCTCGAACAACAATCTCAGCTTCAGGGTCAAAACAGCTGGCTCCAGGCTGGCTCCAATTCCTGTAATAGGGATTGGGATCCCTGTTTCTAAGGCAGCTGCTGGCAGTTATTTAGGAGAGCTCAAAGAGACACAGGCCTGGAGGCGGGCCGACCTGAGGAACCTGACATTTCCATTAACTGTGAGAAGAGGGAAGTGTAAATTAAAGAGACTTATAAAAGTAAAATAAGCCTTCCACTTACTTTATCCAATAGTTTTCGATAATAACCAAAATTACCTAGACCAGCACTATACCCGGCCTCAGATAGAGCAACTCTGTTAGAGCAACACTGAATGAACTTAGACACTCTGTTTCAATCTCACTATTAGTCCCTGATGAGAAATGGGCTAGCGTAAGAACCCGGTCTTAACAGCAGCAATGGGGTGCTCCCTACTCTTATTGATTAGTAGCAATTGAATATATGACCCTGGAGTTCTGAGTTAGAGATACCAGTTTGTCCTGACAGCAGCATTTCAGTCCTTCTCAAAACACTGTCTGCCTCTGCTGTCTTTCTCACTGTAAACTACTGGTTGTCCCCTTGTCTCTCAGCCTATTACATGTTAGGCTCCCTTAGTCATTGACTGCAGTGGGTTGAATAATGTCCCCAAAACATTCATGTCCACACGGAACCTATAAATGTGACCTTATTTGTACAGGTTGAGCATCTCTATTCTAAAAATTTGAAATCCACAATCTGAAACTTTTTTTTTTTTTTTTTTGAAACAGAGTCTTGCTCTTTTGCCCAGGCTAGAGTGCTGTGGCATCAGCCTACCTCACAGCAACCTCAAACTCCTGGGCTCAAACAATCCTTCTGCCTCAGCCTCCTGAGTAGCTGGGACTACAGGCACACACCACCGTGCCCGCCTAATTTTTTCTATATTTTCAGTTGTCCAGCTAATTTCTTTGTATTTTTAGTAGAGATGGGGTCT